CTCCCCATCAACCAAAGCTGACATTTTAATGAGTTTCCTTTTCCCACTCATCCCCTTAAACATGGAGCAGACATCACCTAATTGTACTCCTCTGCCAATGGTAGAACACAATTCTCTCCATGTTCTCTTTTTTGTGTATTTGATTGTCCTTCGAGCAGCTGCCCTTTTCCTTTGATTCTCAATAACATTGTTTTGTGTAATGTTTTTCTTTAATTCTCTAAATGCATAATTTCGCTCTTTAATAGCCCTGCTGCATTCCTCATTCCACCATGGCACCACTTTCTTCCTACCCTTGGTTGTTGTTTTGGGTATACTGTTATCTGCTGCATTTAGTATATGTTGCGTTATTTGGCTTGTAATGACCCCTATGCTTCCCTCTGATGTTAGCAGGTGTACCGACTCCTCACACCATATCCTACATTTCCCCCAATCAGCTTTAGCAAAGCACCACCTGGTTATTACACCTCCTTCCTGTTCCTACAGTGGAGTTATTCAAAACAAGCTATTCGCATGTATGAACCAAACAGTTTGACACTAATGTCAGATCCAGGCATGAGACTTTCCCCCTGTGTACATCTACTCTTGTGCCATGTCCATCATTAAGGCATACTAGTGTTCTTTCCTCCAGCATTTCTTCCACTATATTTCCGTTACTGTCTGTATGGTTGCTGCCCCATAGACTGTTGTGTGCATTGAAATCACCACACCAAACTTCCTTCCTATGTTTATTGCCTGCTATTTCTTTAAATATATCAGTGGTTAGATTTTTACATGGGTTGTATAAATTGATTATCCTAATGTTATCTTGTTTCCTAGGGTTGCAGATTTACACTATAATACACTCTATATCATCAGGGGATTGCACCTCCCTGTATGCCACACCATCTTTGAGAAACGTGGCACCCTCCACCATTTTGATTATGATCTCTATCATGCCTTATACAGCTAAATCCTGGAATGACAAAGTCTAATTGAGGTCGTAACCAGGTTTCTTGCACACATATTACCTCAGGGACCACCTCTAGATCATATATATATATTTCTTGAATTCCTGACCATTAGCTATGAGGCTTCTTGCGTTCCACTGTAGTATGTGCAGAACCATGATTAAGGATCTAACCCTCATCCTGATTTTCATTTTCCCCAGCTCCATGTATAGCTAGCATTGCATGTATCTGATCTGCTTTAATATCTTTCATGTCAAGGAATTTTCCAGCTGCCTCCACAACGGCTTTGATTCTATCACTTTTCTTTTTTAACTGTAATGCAACATTTATAGTATGGCATATGAATACCACAAAATGCACCTTTTTCACTCCTAGAACATCATCATCCTCTTTACTCTTGGTGGCGCTGTGGGGTTGGATTTGAAGATTACTTTTTGGTGTGTTCCTGCCATTTTGTATTGTAATGCTCTGCTCCATTCCACTAGGGGTCTTATTGATTGTTACTGTTCCCCTTACTTTCTTTATTGCTTCTGCGTATGGAACTTTGTTTGTAATCTTAACTCTCTGCACTTCACATCCTCCAAACGCAGCACTGTGATCTCCTCCGCAGTTACAACATTTAACCTTTGCATCCTTTTCACATTTTCCATACTCATGTTGTCCTCCGCATCTCGCACACCTTAGCTGTCCTTTACACTGCAGCGCTGTGTGTCCCATTCGTTGACATGCGTAGCACCTGAGAGGTTTGGGGATGTACTCCCTAACAATGAAGTTCAAATATCCCATTTGTACTGCCTTAGGTAATGTTCTCTCAAACGGAATGAGAACTGATAATGTTTCTTTGAGTGTGCCATCCCGTTTGCTTTTAAGCCTTGTGGCTTCCACTACTTTGCCTCCTTTTATTTCATTTTTAACATCTTCCATTGACATGTTCAATGGTACTCCTGAGATTACTCCTCTCAGTTTTGCCATTGCTCCTGGGACATTTCTCCCCATTCAGTGCGTTCATTCACAGAATCTTTTCCTGCTGCTGTTTGTTACTAGCATATGTATCAATACCCGCTTGTTGTTCATGAATTTAGCACATTTAATTGTTCCAATATATTTTTCAATTGCTTTGGTAAGTTTAATCGGGTGGTAATGCCCACCATCCTGATTGAATTATATTACAACTTTCCACTCGTGTTCTAGTTCTTTATTCAAAGTTGCTTGGCTGTCATTTTGACTGACTTTTGATTTTGGCTAGCCTGGTCTGCTTCACCCGACCAATCCGAACAACTTTGCGCTCTGACTGAGCTATCTCTTTCTGTCAAAGCCCTTTTCTTCCTCGCGGATTTGGATATCATCCATTCCATATCAGTTATTTGGCTACCATCTCAGCTGGTTGACATGATGATAGAGTCAATGTACAGTTTATGCAAATCCGCCAAAATAACAGTCCAATGCAACCGTTTCTGTATGTTTCCGAGTTTTCCGATTCTCTCTGAGCTATCTGCAACGCGTCTCCGACTTCAATTCCTTCTTCCGGTCTGCAATCCACGTCACGCCAGCCCGACTCGCTCAATCCAGCCCAGACGTTGCATTACCGCCTACTACTGCATAAATAATAAAACCGCCCTTTCTTGGTTACTGTACTGTAGGCCTACTTATACATCTTTCTGGTATCAATACTTCACTTCGTACTCCACTACTTATTGTTCTGAGGACTTTTTACTTTGACTTCTTACATTTTTAACACAAATACCTGTACTTTCTACTTCTTACATTATCAAAACAGGTTTGTTACCTTAGTTTTAATCTGTATTTAGTGGCATGATCATTATTATTTAGAGTCTTCAGCGTTGCTGACATTAACAGTTTCTAATAATAGGAAAAACAATAATATGCAACCAACCTTGATGAGAGGGGTGCGCTCGAAGAAGAAGAAACCAAACATGTAGGCCATAATGTTGTTATAGATCACACAGGAAATCGGCACAAGGAACCTGTGAGAAGAGAAGAGTTAACATGAGACTCATAAATAAGAGACTTAGAGAAAGAAAGTTTTGTATTACAAGGCATGTATGAATGTATTTGGATTTGTCTTGCCAATAAACACGGTAAAAATAGTAGGTACAGTTTTTTTTATTTAAATGCAATGAGGTACAGTTTTAGTATAATATGAAAAGTGTTCAAGTTTATTGAAATGGTAAAACACAGTGGAATATTTTCTTTTTAAAGACAGAAACTTAAGAAACTATTAAGGTGAAGCTTAATCTAAGACGATAAAGGATTTACCAGATCATCCCCTCAAACAGCTTGTGAATGATGAGGTGAGACTGAGTCGCCACGATCAGCAGAGTCACATGAGTCCAACCAAACTGTGGAGACAAAACATCATTAGGAAAATATGTTTACAATAATTTGCCTGACAACCAACCCAATTATATTCATGAGGGTCCTTGTTCCAAATATGTATTGATAGATGTGATGATGGTACAACACCCAATACTGTCAGCTGTGACTACACTGAGATGGGATTTAGCTGAAAAGGATATTAGCTTGATTCAATTCAAGATGTGTTTGAAGGCAGCATTTCCTATTTAACATAAAGAGCTGTGTTTTTGTAAACCTCAGGCTCCATATTTAATATTCATTCATACATTCCACTGACACAAGACTAAGGTTTTCCATTATCGGCAGTGTTTTAGGGCCATTGTAGATTTGTTAATCAAATTAAAGGGTAATATTCCGAGAAAATAAGCTAGATTAAATCGTTAAAAAAAAGTTATATTCTTTGAGATTTGTAAGGTTAATTTACCAGAAAAATCAGGCTTTAACAAAAACAAAAGTATATTACATTTCTACATTTGGGGGGGAATTTAAAAAAAAATTATGTTGTAAGTATTTTGTTTTGTTTTGTTTGCATTACTGCACTTGCAATGTTGGATGAACCTTTATCAAACACTTCTTTTTTTGAAGGTATCACAGTTTTTTTCTTGTTAATTTACAACTTTATGAGTTATCTCCCAGACTAATACGCCCTTCCGCTGGCTTTTAACCAACATAGGCCCTCAAACACTGTGATATCCTTCTCTATGTGAACATAGAACCTGAATTATGACCAAAAATCACAGGAGTGATGTGTCGTGTACGCTGAGTTGATCTCATCCGCTTCACAAATGTTGTCTTAGATGATTGCTTTCCCTTTGATTTAACAGGCACTGACTCTTCTGCTTGAATATTTCTGTCTGTGAAAGACTTGAGCTAAGTTTATAAGTGTTTAAATCTGCAGGGTATCTTCCAGTCGTCTCATTAATAAATGTCAGACTTGCAGTGTGGTATAAAAGGCAAAATAACAAAAGTGAGTCTCTTTCTCTTTTCTTTTTTATGGGTATTTTACTTTATATTAAATACATAACAATAACAGTGCAGAACATCTAACCTCACTATGAATCCAGAACAATACACCTGCAGGAGTATGGATAAAGCGAGAGGTTTGCATGCATTTTGAGCCGATTTGGGCAGAATCCAGCAGAGTGGATCGTGATGTTCATCCTATGTAATCTATATGTAAAGAAACAAGTCTAAATATTTAAAGATAAAGCTGTGAAACAATCTCAATAATTGGCAGCATGTTGAGATAGGAAGTTTTAATATCTTAAGAGAAGAGCTCTTTTGGCTCCTTCCTGTCTTTCTACTGGGTCTTTCTTGGCTTTGTACTGGCTATCTTCTAGCTCTATTCAGGTTTCTGGAGTTTTTTTCTAGCTCTGTCCCTGATCATTTTCAGAACCTGAAGGCTCTATACGGACTATCTTCTGGTTCTCCTCTGGATCCATCCACTATCTCTTGTCTCTGTCCAGTGAATTACACTTGTGTTACTGGAGCAGGTAAAGCATACAACAGATACTTTCAGCATCATCGGAGCACAAAGTGGAAGCTTGGATGAAACACAGCGGACTTCTAAAGAATGAACACCCGCAACTTAGAAGAAATAAAGCTGGATTTTATGTGTTCTAATATTGCAATGCAAACCCATGATGTAATGACAGTAATTAAGAATAATTTAGTCATTGAATGCTCATTTCAGTAGATTTAATCAAACAAAACATGAACATATTGGACATGGCATCAAGACTGTAACCTCTTCACATTCTGTTGAAATAGTCAATTACTAGCCATATCTTACACATTGCTGTTTTGAATCATTAATATGTGGATGACAGTTGAACTGGATGATGCAACATGTATGCCACCTGCTGGAAAGAAAATGTATCGCTCTGTTGGCGTCATTTGGACAACAAAAACAGAGTTAAACTCTCATTTCATAAACAATCTTTGAGCACACAACAGCACGTTTTTGGTCTAGCATCACTTTACAAAACGTTTGCATTAAGACACTAAGACTAGCTGGTCCATTGTAAAGGTCAGTCTACCTTAAATGATCAGCAGGTGAAAGGCAGGACACAGGAACTTGGTCCTGAGGAGATGTAACGATTATTAAAGAAGAAAGTTGTCGAGTCAAGGGGTCAAAGAAATGAACATTTGTGATTATTAGCGAATCGGTTGCAGGCTGGTGAAATCAGGCTTAGGGAGTAACTAAAACCAAAACTAAGGAGCTCACTGTTAATTTCAGGAGGACAAAAAAGGAAGTCCATCTCCACAGAGAAGCAGTGGAGAGCGTGGAGGACCTACGGTTCCTTGGAGTCAACATCTCCAATAATTTAACTTGGACCTCAAACCTGGTGAAAAAGGCACAGCAGAGACTGTTTTTCCTGAGGAAACTGAGACAGGCCAGGCTTCCACAAAAACTGCTGGTAAACTTCTATCGGTCGACTATTGAAAGCACCCTGAGTGGAAGGACCTACAAAAGTTGACTGCAGAAGAAAGCCAGCAGTATCATCAGAGACATCACACACCCCGGCCACTCACTGTTCGAACCGTTGCCATCCGGCAGATCGTTCGGGTCAATAAAATCACGCACTAACAGACTGAAGAACGGCTTCTTTCCCAGAGCTGTGGCCTCCATCACTCCCATCCCTGTCCAACCACAAAACTCACTATAACTTTGAACATGTACACATACAAACACACTACCTCCCATCAAAGACTGCAGCCAAAAATATCATGTTATTTATCTGTATATTTATTAACTATCAAATTGTAGCTTTTCTTTATTAAATAAACTTTAAAAATGTATTTTAACATTCTGGTAAAGTGCATTTAAGTGATGACCCTGATTAATTGTTATTTATGTACTGCAGTGAGAGAAGCCAAATTATTTTCGTTACACTGATGTGTGATGACAATAAAGATATTCTATTCTAACGTATTACATGAAACGGCATTAGGTCATCAGGATACAAAATAGGAAAATGTGTTCCCTTACAGAACCAAAAACAATCAGATAACAGGTATATTTATGTAAAAGAGGGGTCGTTAACAGGATAGCAATGATAAAAAACATTTAGAAATAAAGAACAATACATCAAATCATCCTATATCTGTATATGGAAACTTGGAGCCCTCAATCCACAATGAAATGGTTAATCAACAGTCAGTGGTTAACGTATAAATCAGAAAATCAGTATGACAAAAACATATTGTCCACTTATGTTAATAAAGATGGAGTTAGTTTAAGTCTTATGTCAATGTTGTGCAATAATGTTGATCCAGTCAGGCAGATTTTTCTCATGTGTTAACTGTCATAAGACATATGCACTGTCCTCTCCATCAGCTTCTGTGTCTTCAGCTGAGCTGCTGATTGGAGGCTCTGCCTCTTCGTTATCCTCAGTTTGAATTTCATTAAGCTTTGAGGACTGACGACCAACACACTTGTGTCTATTTAAACAATTAAGCCATTTAAATATTTTGTCACAAACATTGCAGCTGTATATTTCCTCTCCTGTGTGGACTCTCATGTGTTCCTTTAAATTTCCACTCCATGAAAAAGCTTGCTTACAGACTGAGCAGCTAAAGGGTTTCTCTCCTGTGTGGACTCTCATGTGTTTCTTTAAACTTCTACTCTCTGAAAAAACTTTCTTACAGACTGAGCAGCTAAAGGGTTTCTCTCCTGTGTGGACTCTCATGTGTTGTTTTAAATGTCCACTCCGTGAAAAAGCTTTCTTACAGACTGAGCAGCTGTGTGGTTTCTCTCCTGTGTGAATTCTCATGTGTCTCTTTAAATTTCCACTCTGTGAAAAAGCTTTCTTACAGACTGAGCAGCAGAATGGTTTCTTTTCAGCACTACATCGTGGATCACTGACGGATTCATGTCTATTTTTCAGTGAGTTTGAGCATGATGCAGGTTCTCTGGTCTCCTTCCAATCAGCACTGTCTTCAGTGTCAGGTTCAGAAGAGTCTTCAGGGTCGTCCTCAGTCTTTGGTTGTAAACTGCTCTCTGGATCTGAGTTCCTGGCTGGTTCTGGTCCTCGACAGTCATCTCCATCAGCTTCTGTCTCCATGTGTTCAGCTGAACTGCTGATTGGAGGCTCTGCCTCTCTGTTATCCTCAGTTTGAATTTCATTAAGCTTTGAGGACTGATGACCAACACACTTGTGTCTCTTTAAACAATTAAGCCATTTAAATCTTTTGTCACAAACATTGCAGCTGTATATTTCCTCTCCTGTGTGGACTCTCATGTGTTCCTTTAAACTTCCACTCCGTGAAAAAGCTTTCTTACAGACTGAGCAGCTGTATGGTTTCTCTCCTGTGTGGATTCTCATGTGTTTCTTTAAACTTCCACTGTGGGAAAAATGTTTCTTACAGACTGAACAGCTAAAGGGTTTCTCTCCTGTGTGGATTCTCATGTGTCTCTTTAAATTTCCACTCATTGAAAAAGCTTTCTTACAGACTGAGCAGCTGAATGGTTTCTTTTCAGCAATACGTTGTGGATCACTGATGGATTCATGTCTATTTTTCAGTGAGTTTGAGCCTGATGCAGGTTCTCTGGTCTCCTTCCAATCAGCACTGTCTTCAGTGTCAGGTTCAGAAGAGGCTTCAGGGTCGTCCTCAGTCTTTGGTTGTAAACTGCTCTCTGGATCTGAGTTCCTGACTGGTTCTGGTCCTCGACAGTCATCTCCATCAGCTTCTGTTTCAATGTGTTCAGTTTGTCTTTGATGAGGCCGTGAGGACTGAGGTTTCTCTTTATCATCTTCACTCTTCACAGGGTCAGGAGTGAAAGTGGACTTGGAGATATCAGCCTCCTCCAGCTCCTGAAGCTGCTCTCCCTCCTGACTGATCCTGAGTCCCTCCTGTTCCTGCTTAATGTGTGGGGGGGGCTCTGGGTCTTCCTGGTCCAGACTGGTGCTCCACTCCTGCTGGTCAGGGAGAACCTCTTCTTTAACCACCACCAGCTGCTGGCCGTCTGCAGGAAACAGGAAACAGTCATAACAAAAAAAGTGTTAGCATTTAAAAATCTAATCACCATTAAAACGGGAGACATTTTTCAGCCCTAGTAATGCCTTTGTTTTTATACTTTAATATTATCTTTCTTAGTCCCACCTATTGTGTATTTTTGTTAGCTCAATTCACCTTACGTAGCCCAGCCCCATTCCACTTCCAGTTAAAAATGAAAAGGGGTTATTTCTTCTGGTTTAGCACTAGCTGCAATGTAAACAAGGAATTGTATTTGGGATCGTTCACAGCTACACTACGCCTATAAAATGGTAATACAACAAATGTATAGTAGGGCCATGCCTATACAAAACATGACTGTTATGGAAATAATTATCATAAGACGCCAATTTGTAACATACAGGACAAACCTCGATGTCTGTTTACCTTCTTTAAGGACACAGGCGGCTTAGCCAATAATGTTATTGTTCCCATTCTGTGACCGGTCAATACTGGGATACAGATGGTCTGTGTTGTGGGTACACTGGGACACTTCCTTCTCTGTATTTGTGGACTCCAAGGTAAAATCTTCGAGGTCATAAGTGTCCGAGGCAAGTAGCTCTGTGTTCCCACACTGTTTAGGCTATCTCCTCAAATATGTTGTTTACTCTCTGCGAAACCAGTTAGATGGGCTGGCAAGAGAGAGGCTCTCCAGAATTTACGTGGCAACTCTACCGTGGAGTCAGAACCTCTGACTCTTGGATTTGTGATGTGAATACTCTGGTACCAACTCCAAATAAATCACAGTGGTTTGACATCAAAGCTCCGACTCTTCCCGTGTCTCCTTCCTGAGTCGGTGACTCCACTGCATGCTACACAGAAGTTTCCTCTACAATGACTGTGAAGTTTTTTGCTTAAAATACCAAACAGATCACCCATTGTAGCCATGCCTCATACCCCTCTATTCCAGCCCTGTTCCAAAAAGACTGATTCTGTGACCTAGCTTTAAATGGAACAGCTGCTGCTAGCCACGCCCCTTTGTAGCTCATGCAGCTCTCCCCTGCTAAGAGAGATTTCTACCGGGAGAAACTCAGCTAAACGCTGCCATGATTAAATGCCATATTATGTTCCAAACCACTTCAAGCATTATTTCTGAAACAGAAGGAGCTCAAACCTTTCTCTCTCGCAGGGTTTACCGCAAGAACATTACTTTACACATCTTCTCTCCAGTAGCCTACAGCATTAGCTCTGAGTGTTAGCATGCTTGCAAATGTAAGGTCTGATGAAAGGACGAGGAATGGCTGGATCAAGTTAGCTACCTAGCTAGTAGCAAGCACGTTAGTTAGCATTACAGCCTTATGATTTTCATTAGCCTTAACATGAAGTGACATTAAGTAACCCATAATGTTAAACAGTAAGAGTAGTTGTCATATTTCGTGAACCCTTTGAAGAGACAACGGATGACCAAGAAACTAGTGACTTGCTCAATTCATTTTTGAGGTACAGCTGCACTACTGGTATTTTGTATACCAGCAATTGAGGGTGGACAAGTTTACTACCACTTTAGTTTCAAATAATTGTGTTAATTACTTATAGAGTGGCGAAGTCACGCCTATCTACTTCTAATGATCACACCGGTGTGATCATTCTATAATACACTCAAGGCTGCCTGGCTGTTGAGATTGACAAGGAATATCTTAAATGCTACTCTGTAAAGGGAATAGGCCTACTACTGTTAAAATAACCTTATTTGTTTAAAATAAAAGTGCGCAAAAAACTAATTTTGAATTCATTATTTAATTGTGTGCATAACAATGCAATTAATCGCAGAAAATCCTTTGATTAATCATGATTCAAATGTTTAATCGTTGCCCAGCAATAATAAATAGTCTTAAGTGTTACCAAAGACTTTAGCGTGTTACCAAAGAGTTTAAAGCAGGGGTGTCCAAACTTTTTTCACAGAGGGCCATATACAGAAAAATATACGAAGGGCTGGGCCACTCATAAAGGTGAGGTATATCGCCTCGTAAGTTAAAGGTGGGGTAGGTAAGTTTGAGAAACCGGCTCGAGATACACTTGTTATATTCCATGGAATGCTCTTAACATCCTGATAGCAATGAATATCTGAAGTGCTTTGACAAAAAATCCATTAAAAAATATTATCTGTGGAAGCCGTAGTACTGTAAAAAGCACGACCAATCATTTTAGCCGGCCCGGCTAAAATAACTGGATGGCCTACCTGCCTGTCAGCCTTCCATCTGTGCACAAACTTATCTCGTGCCCTCATTGGCCATGTGCGCGTTCGTGTGTGTTGGAGGAGGGGCTCTGTAAGGAAGTGGCAGATTTGTTCCGGCTGTGTATTTTCAAATTCTAGCGCACTCGAGCTGGTTTCTCCAAAATTACTAGTGACGTGCGGTGAGGTTCATGGCTGGTGAGTAGGGATGTCCCGATCACCTTTTTTTGCTCCCGATCCGATCATTTGATTTTGACAATCTGCCGATACCGATTTTTCCCGATCCGATCTTTATGCAATGCATTAAGAGAAAAAAAAGGAAAAAAGCATTCAAGTTGTCCCTTAAGGTTATTTTTTTATTTAAATGACAGTACCCAACTATCCATTCTATCCAACATGGATATAGCTTCTTTTTCTCACAGCAGCATTGGATCAGTTCAGTTGTGCAGCATTGGATCAAAACAAAAATAAAGCTTATCAGTGGTCCACCACAAAATAACCATGTAAACAAATTGAGTGGAGATAGTGCAGTAACAAAACAAAAATAACTCTACTGGAAAGAGGTAGCTTGACTAGCTTTACAAGTTCACATTCAGCCACAAATAATAAAATAAAATAAAAATGTGGCTTAGTGCAGAATTCTAGCCTTAAGACTAACTAGTCTAGTAATAATGCAATGAACAACAGCAGCTTAACATAACATGAATAAACAAAGTATTATATTTCCATCTTACTGGAGTAACACAATTCAATAGTAATCAGCAGCAAACCACTTATTTTTGTTATTCTACAGTATTGTTGTGTTATAGTTATTTGTTAATGTAACCCAATTTGTGTTCTTTGAAATTGAAAAGGATATCGCATTGTATTTGTTACTTTCGTTGAAGTTGTATATGTCTTAAGTGTAATTTGGCTTGGCTTCCTATTTGTGGGCATGCTTTTATTTTGAAGGAGAGGTAGCGCTGTTGACAGGAAGTTGTTGTTGCTTTGGAAACAACATGACGGAGATTAACGGAGAAAAGTAATATCTAAATATAAAGACGGAGAAAGTAAACGATAACGTTTATGGTTAAGTGTTAGCACCCCCCGAAGAGGCACAAGCTCTTATATTGGAGATTTCAATAAATTCAATTTGAAAAAAAAACGGGGGAAAAAAATAAAAAACAAACAATCGTATTAGATTGGTCGTGTTGAGCGTAGCTCTGTTCTTTCCACCACGCGGAACCTCCTTCTTGCAAACATTGCATCTGGCTGTTACACTGCCTTCGCTTTCAATTTTATAATACTTCCAAACTCCTGACATTTTCTCTGTCCTGACTCCCGAGTCACCAGCTGAACGTAGCCTCTCCTTAGCTTACTGCCACTATTAGACACTGCGCCCACTCTGTTGCCAGATTTGAGAGGGATAAGCAACCAGGTCTGAAAACAAGCCCAAGAGAAGCAACACATACATGATGTTGTGTAATTTTAAACCAAAACTAAGGCCTCAGGGTGACTTTAAGACATGAACATGGTCCTTTTTGTTTTGTAACATTAAATAAAATAATTTTTTTAAGGATTCCCGATCCCCGATCTTTTTCTCCCGATTAAGATCTTTTAAAAATCACGTGATCGACTCCGATCCCCGATCACGTGATCGGATCGGGACATCTCTACTGGTGAGGCACTGACTCTTTCAGAGTCAGATTTACAAATATTATATTTTGACCTTAATCGAAATATTCCGTTATTTTCAAAAGCTCTTTTAGTCTGATGCTTCAATTCATTTTAAACAAACCGTTCAAAAAAAGGATACCCAAAATCTAAATATTGGATTGTTCTTTCTTAGTAAGATCCCATTTTTATTACAATTGGGGTCTTACCTTGACTTGAAGATGAAGTCCATGCTATCCTTCTCGACAACAATCTCTATTACTTTTTTGTAAAAGTCCTCCTTATCTTCCTCTTTCAAGTCTAGTTTGTTGTTTGCGTCTACCGTCTCTGCGTAGAATAACAGTAGCAACAAGAACCTGTGGGCTCACGTGCGCCCCCTTCAGTTCGGCAGAGGTTATGGCTGCCTCCCCTGGTGCTTTTTTCATTGCCGTTGTATGATGAGACCAGTGAGCCTAAATATCATATATATGTGAAATAAGTTATTTAGAGACTATGGATGGCGAGGATAAATGTAATACAGGGATCTACAAACATTACATTGGTGACATACAGTGAGATGGTGCAGGCATGCGCTTAGGGCCC